CAGTGACGTTAATTTGTTACAAATGTGGCAGTGGCATATTGTTTATGAAGACAGAGAAGAGTGTGTGCAGGATTCAGGCCAAGGAGTGCTGCTGAGAGGTGCTGCTCAGCTCTGCTCCTCACCCAGTGACAGGAGAGTCACCCTCTAGGGCCTGTCCACAGGCAGTGACCAGACTGGGGATCACTCCTGAGGAAGGGCTGGCCATCTGGAGAAGAGCAGAATCAAAGCCCGTGATCGCCATGTTCCCACCTCCGAAGAACCAGCAGGAGCAGGAGTCCATGTGATGTGTGGCCCCCAGGCAGAGGCAGGACCTGTGAGGCAGGTTTTCAAAGCAATTGCAGAATCATCGAGCAAGAGGTGGAGGCCACAGAGATCTCCCCACCCAGCCCACTCGCTTTAGCAAGACCCAGGCAGAGGCCAGGACTTCCTGGGGGCTCCTCACTGAAGTGACGGCAAAGCCAAGACTAGCTCCGAGGGTCCTGTCTACCAGCCAGAGCTTGCTCTTCTCCCTGCGTTTGGGATTTTGTTAGGAGGGCCTAGAATGGAATAACTTATAGCATTTTTTATTTTATTTTTGTTGAGTCAAGGCCATCCTGTGTTTTAGACCTTGGAGTCATACATTGAGTGTGTGTGTTTGTAACCATTAAACTTTAAAGAACACATATACCTCCTTCCATTCGGATCTAGAGCCAATTGAGGACTAATGGACAGTTAAGGGTGAGGGGAGTAGAACCCAGCTAATGCAAGAGACCCTGTAACTGGCTCTCCCGCCTAGGGGTTGCGGTCCCAGAAGGAGGTAGAATCACTGACGGAAGCTGTCTCCCAGCCATCTCGTGGATGCTCTCAGGCCCACAGCCAGTGAATATTTTCAGACTGGACTTTTTTTGGCAGCCTAATTTTCACCAATAGGACCTATTTCCTTTACGTATCATCCAAATCTAAAATTTGAAATAAAGAATGGGTTTTTCAAAGAGAACACTTCTTTTTGCCCCACAACGAGGAAGCAGCATTGTTCTTCGGGAGAGGGGCTCTCTTGTTCCATACTATTTTTAGGCTCTTAGCACAGAAACTGTCGGCATTAAAGGGCCTTCAGTCAAATCTAGTGGTACTCAACTCTGTGTGTTAGGATCAACTTAGGGGACTTTTAAAAATACTGCCGCCCAGAACCCACCCCTCAGCCCCCCAGAGGTTCTAATATAATGGGTCCATATTAGGACTCAGACGTATGTATTTTCCAGCAGTTCCCAGGTGATACTAATGCCCAGCCGGGGCTGGGAACCATTGGAAGCCCTGCTGTGCAGTTTGCCGATGGAGAAACTCAGGCCAGAGAAAGAGACAGTCTGTCCAGGGCCACACAGTGAGTCAGTGGCAAGCTGCGGCAGAGTTGTGGGGCAGGACGGCAGCCCTCTGCTCAATTCCTTCATCTACCCCCACCCCCTGGTGCGTCTTCCTAGCCTGTCCCCTGACCCACAGTCTGCAAGGCCCAGTCTGTATCCATTGGGTGGTTAACGCTGTTTGTGAGTTAGCAAGGAACCCAAGAGTTAAACATTGAGAGTGCTGGGTGCCTATAATGGTCACCACCAGCTGGGCCACCAGCTGGGCCGTGGAAGAACACAGAGGGCACCATCCTTCTACCTGCAGACCCGGGAGGGGTCCTGGGTAGAGGACAGGGGATGAGACTCGATGCTACCTAAGGATGCCAGATGCAAGGCTTCAAGGCCCGCTCAGGAACTAACTGGCTGATAGGAATCATGAGGCCTGGGTACACCTAGGTCATAGCTCCAACACCAGGAGCTGTCACCCATGCCCTCAGCCCACAGCAACTGAGGTGCTCAGAGGGGAGCTACGTACTCAGAGAAGGCTTCCTGGAAGAGGTGGGTGTAGGATTGGGCCATGTTGGTAGAGGGAGGGGAAAGCCACCTTCCAAGCAGAGGGACCATTATGGGGAACCATGGCATTAAAAAAACCTAGGGAGTATTTGGGGACCGAGCAAATAGCTCAGTTACTTTTATCATGAGGCAAACTACAATTTATTGAACACTTACTGTGAGTTAGGCTGTAAGCCAGAAACTGCCCATATTTTCCTCTTTAATCCTCATGGCCACTTTGAAAGTTCCCATTTTCCAGCTGCAGCCACCTGCTAACAAAGGGCAGGCTGGAGGGAAATAGTATCTGCAGATGAGAATAATTTTACCTGCCTGGTGGGGCTGGGTGAGTCTTTAACTACAATCTCAGATATTATTAATTTTTTTTTAATCTTTGTATCTCCAGCCCCGAGCCTGGCAGATAATAGGCACCCAGTCAATGTTTGTTGAATGAATGAATGAATGAATGAATGAATGAATGAATGAATGAATGGAGTGCTTAAGGGATTTAGCACAAGCATGCCTCAGTGCCCAGATGTCCAAGGCGACCTTGGTCAAGGGTGAGGACAGAACCTCATCTTTCACCACCCACACTGATGCTTTTGAGGGATTCTTTATCAGGAAGTACCTGAGGCTGGGCCTGGCATGCAGTAGGCCCTCCATAAATGTGGGCTGAGTGACCAACAACTCTGCTCAGCATGGGTGGTGAAAGTGGTCTGAGTTCAGAGCTAAGGGAGCTCAGTTCACTTGGTCACTGCCCAGCACATGGCTCTGAGCGTTCACCTAACTTCTGTGAGGCTTCTCCCTCATCTACAGATGGGGGCAAATCATGTCCAGTTCATGGTTTGCCAAGAGCCTTCAATGCAAGAACATGTGACGCACCTATGAGCCCCCAAGCGGTACCCCAGGGAGAGATTCTGGTGATGATAGCTGTCTTGGGAAGCCAAGTATGTGCGCCCCAGCCAGTCGGCAGTTCCTCTTGGTGCCATGGGACAGTCCATCAGGGTATGTCAGTCGGGGGGGCAGGCTGTGTGGCTGGGGGTGCGGTGGGGCGCCAGCCACATCACTTCCCGGCTCCTGGTGATTTGTTCCAATCAGCCTGCATATTTCATGAGCTGCCTCCCCACACCAGATAAATAAATCAGGGCTTCCTCCTCTGAGCAGCAGGAGCTGATTGGGGCTGAGGACTTCAAAAGGCCAGAGCAGGGATGCTGGAGCTCCCAGCAGAGTCTGTTAATGTGACATTTAGGAGCTGTGATCCAGGCAGGCGACAGCCACCTGCAAAGGGGCAGGAAGACCACTGTAGTGGGAGGGAAGTGACTTTGACAACCCTGTTTTCCACCCCACAGTCAAAAGAACACAGGCAGAAGTGTGGCCTATGGGATTCCCTGTTCCTCTTCCCAAATGTGTATAAGGGACAAGCAGTGCGTCTGCATTTCTGCAAAGAAATTCCCTGAGAGCCAGAGCCCCAGCCGGCCAGCGGGTCCTCTGGGTGCACATTCGGAGTTCCCGCAGCCGTGTCACTTGATAACCTCCGGGCATTTGGAGGCCCAGCATCTGCAGCTCTGGGGACCCGCTTGCCCTGTGGGTGGGCATGTGGGCGTGCCTCTCTGCAGTTACTACACGGAGGGGGCAGCTTGGCAGGAACTGTCACCACTCAGGGATCCCATTGAGGCAGCCCCATGTCAGCAAAGAGCATGGTCTGTGGGAAACATCCCGAGTTCGAGGCCGGGCTCTACTCTTAGAATCGGTGGAGTGGCAGCAAAGGCACAAGCTGCCGAGCCCTGTTGCCTCATCTGTGCGGTGGGACCGAAACCACCAGCTGCAGCTGTGAGAACCGAACAAGAAAAGGCACAGAAAGCTCCCAGCACAGGTCCAGGCACACTGTCCAGGCTCGGTGACTCCTCAGTGGTTCTCCCCGCCCACTCCCCAGCCCTTGCAAAGCGTGTTCAGCCCTGGGGGCTTCACCCTCTAGTTCCACAACCTTTGCCTTTGGTCCTGCTTCCCCAGACCTGCTTTGTCTGTGGTCACCAGTCCCCCCACACACCAAATCCATTAACCCCTTGCTCAAGGGGCTTGTTGTTCTAGTCTCTCGGTGACATCTGACACTGCTAGCCAGCTTCATTGTGAAATTGTCCCTTTCCTTGGCTCCCATGATGCCCACTCTCTCCTGCCACCCTGCTCCCGGCACCCTGGCCAGTCCCTCCCAGTCTCCTTGCAGCATCCTTGCCGTGCCCAACCTCCCCCCCCCCCCCCCCCCCCCCCCCCGCCGAGAGGTTGGCGCTCCCAGGATTCTGCCCTTGGTCCTCTCTGCTCTTTGGCACTGTCCCAAGGGATCTCCTCCCTGCCCCCTGCTCCAACTCCCAGTTCACATGCTGATGGCCCCAACTCTCTCCCCAGCTCAGACCTCTCCCCTGTCTCCAGACCCAAGGACACCTCCACCCTCACCAGTCTCATGATCCATGAGCACGTCCGGCTTCACTAATACTAATTCCACCTCAGAATGCATTAATAGGAATATAATGTGCAAAATGAAGGAGGGGATAATCCCCTGCACTTGCTGCTGACCAGACCATGCCTAAAGAAGTATGTTGGTCAGTCCTTGAGTCTACACTCTCTCAGACACAGTGACATTGTGTGGCGTGGCCCAAGGAGGAACCTGGAGAGGGCTGAATTAGAAATGATATTCTGTAAGGTGAGGTTGGGGGCTGGCACCAGGGGGATGATCTGTGTCTTCAAGTCTCTAGGGCTGTCCTGGAGCAGAGGGAGCCGAAGCGGTCTGTGTGGTCCTAGATGACAGAGCCAGAGACCAGGGGAAAGTTACAGAGACCGTTCAGCCCAATGACCAGGAAGGACTTGGTAACAGACGAGTCCGTTATGAAGGGAGAAGGCCTCCATCCACAAGGCATATAGCAAAGGGGGGGGATCACCAGCGGATGCACTGGGGTGAGAGGGCGTCTGTCCCACCCCAGATCCAATCGGAGGTTTTGCGATTCTACCCGGAAAAGGCCCGGGGCAAAGGAAAGCCTGTGAGAATGTAGCCAGGGCCTGTGGGGGTGCAGGAGCTGCGACAGGAACAGCCAGCCACAGGCACGGGACTCCATCTAACCAGCCTCTATCTCTTGTTCCCCACAGATAGCAGGGAGGTGAAGGTGGGAGAGTACAACGCTGTGGCTGACACACTGGAGATCATCAACGACACTATCAGGTTCCAAGGTAAGGCAGATGGGCTTCTCATAGGAGGGGGCCTGCTCAATTGCTCCCAAGGTCAGATACTGTCTGAGGGCTGGGGTCAAGCTCGGAGTCTTTGGCTTCCTGGGGAAGAGGGAACCTCCTTTCCTCTCAACACATACACTCACTGAGCACAGGGTCCCCATCACTCACATGGGAGCTGGCTTCCTGCTCCTAGGATAAGTCACTGAAATTTGCATGGCGTGCTGTCTCTTACCCAGGCATCTACATTTAAACCAGTCCATAGCCAGGAGTAATTCTGTTTAAATGTGACCCAGCTAAATTTAGATCTGTCTCCTACTGGGAGAAACGACTTGGTTGGGTTAGAAATAAAGCCTGTCCACCGGCTGGTCTTCCTGAAGATCATTCCCTCTTCTTCTGCGGGAGAACTCTTCCTCAGCTTCTAGAACCAAATCAAATGACACTCTTCTGTGCAGCCTTCCCCGATTGCCCCCAGCTGAGCTAATGGCTCCCTTGTCTTGGCTTTCAGTGTTTGTCTCTGCCTTCCCCATAGTCACTGTCTTTTGCATGGAAATTTCTAGGTTGTTAGACCATGAGCTCCCTGACTGGATCCTATCTGACTTTAAACTCCTAATGCCTAGGGCGCCTGGGTGGCTCAGTCGTTAAGCGTCTGCCTTCGGCTCAGGTCATGATCCCAGGGTCCTGGGATCGAGTCCCACATCGGGCTCCCTGCTCGGCAGGAAGCCTGCTTCTCCCTCTCCCACTCCCCCTGCTTGTGTTCCTGCTCTCGCTATCTCTCTCTCTGTCAAATAAATAAATAAAATCTTTAGGGGCGCCTGGGTGGCTCAGTCGTTAAGCGTCTGCCTTCGGCTCAGCTCATGATCCCGGGGTCCTGGGATCGAGCCCTGCATCGGGCTCCCTGCTCGGCAGGAAGCCTGCTTCTCCCTCTCCCACTCCCCCTGCTTGTGTTCCTGCTCTCACTATCTCTCTCTCTGTCCAATAAATAAATAAAATCTTAAAAAAAATAAAAAATAAAATAAAATAAATAAATAAACTCCTAATGCCAGCCGGGGTCTGACACATGTCGAAGGTTCATATTTGATCAAAAACTAAACACATGACTGATCAACTGAGGGGATGACTGGGTGGGTGAATAAATGAATGAAAGGTGATTCCACAGAGAACACGGTTGTGGGGAAAACAAACAAACAGACGCCTGCTGGCTGAATGAATGCATGGATGCTCTTTGTGCATTGTGTGTGAAGGCACTATTTTCGGGGGAGGGAAGGTAGAGTAAGGAAGAGGAGATGTGGTCAGTCTCCTGACGTCATTTCTGCATGAGCAGCGAGTGCTCACAATCATCATATACCTGCTGGTCCAAACCTCAGCTCTTTTCTCAATGCCCAGAGATGGACTTGTTCCCAGCCAGGAACTCACGGGCACCCCCAGGTTGGCTCTAGTGTTTGGAAACCAGAAGACACCTGAGCCAGCGTAATGCAGCCAGAGGTTCGCTTAGGGGTGGGAGGTTGGGGGGAAAAAAAGGGAAGAATGGTGGAAGAAGGATTCAGATGTAGAGCTTTCACTTCTGGAAGCAAGAAATGGTGTTACTTCACTTACCTTGTGTCTGTTTTTGCCCTGACCTTCGGCCACTCCTTCAAAATGTTCCTTTACGTGGAATTGCTTAAACTTTACATTTAACCATGCTAGCAGGTTCCTAGCTGTTTTAGAACCTGGCAGTTTCCCTGCTTAGATGGTTCGAACTCTTCTTATCCCCTGAATGTTTCCAAACACGTTTGAACTTGCTAGCAGAATTTTTGAAACACAGATGTTCAGAGATCTCCATCCCTGCTGCCACACCTGCCCATCCTCTGCTTGTCCCCTGGGAACGGAGGTGTGACCCAGGCTGCCCCCCACGGCACAGCCATGGTGCGGTCCTCATGACCCCTGTGGGGGCTCCCCGGGCTCCCCGCCTTCCCCACCAGAGAGAAAAGCCCCAGTGTTTCACGGTTCCGCAGCAGAAGCCTGACTTGAAATAGCAGCTGAGAAGAAAGGGATTTGTAAGAAGTGGGGCGGGGTGGGGCGAGTCCCTGCACCCCTCCTCCCAAACCAGGCTGGATCCAGACAATTTTGCCAGCGACCAGAAAGATGAGTTTTCTCTGAGGCCCTCAGGGCTCCCCTAGGTTCCCGGTGCCCGTGGAGAATGAGCAGGGACAGCTCTTCAGTCACATAGAGAAATGCAACCCCACAGTTTTGGTCCAGTCCTGGCACGGTAGGGAGGGGGAGGCATGCCAGTAGCTTCTGCCTCCCACAGTGAGTGAGGCTTATGAGAATGGAAAACCAGAAAGAGCTTTTATAACATAATGACCTTGAGGCAGAAAACCCACGCCCAGAGACATCTCTGTCTCCATGGAACTGACAGGCAAAGTGTCTGCCCTGTTGAGGGTGGTCATTATCACGTGTCAGAGCAGAGTCCTTGAGAGCCCAAGCCAGGTGCCTCGCCCCCAGTGACACCCAGTGGGACCCACTCACAGCGTCCAGCCCTGTGCCTTCCGAGCTGCTGTTACCTTTGGGGACAAATGGGGATGGTTTTTCAACAGGATAATTAGACCAGATCAAATCCTAGTCTTTTAATGGCTGTTAAATGCATCACAAATTCCTTATTGATTCTATTTAGAGAAAGAAATAAGTCCTAGCTAAGGCTCCCTGCCGGTAGATTGGCCGACCACTGGAGCCCTCTCCCCCAGTAGCTGTGTCCTGCTCAGAGATCGTGTCCAGGTGCCAGACAGCAAGACATGCAGGCAAAGGTGTTCTCGAGGGCTGACCATGCACCGGGCTCAGCTGGTGTCTGTTCCTTGGCCTTTAGGATCTGAGCCACCAAAAGACAAGACCATCATCCTGGAGCAGCTCCGAAAGATCTCCCTACCTCTCTACAGCATCCTCTCTGCCCTCACCATCCTGGGGATGATCATGGCCAGCGCTTTTCTCTTCTTCAACATCAAGAATCGGAATCAGAAGTAAGCCACTCACAGCCTCCTCTTGGATGATGCTTTCCGGATTGACAAACTCGTAGATAAAGTGTAGGGACTTCACATGACCGATGCACCAGGGGCACAGAAGTTTTGGGGACAGTTTTCTAAAGTGGTCATTCGGTCCCTGGGATGTGATTAGATGTTCCATGTAATGTACGTACTCTCTCTCTCTCTCACAGACACACACACACACACAGAGGCAGGGCTGCTGGTTGCACAGGAGGACTGGGATAAATAAACTCCAAGGGTCTGAGTCTCTAGGCCTCCTCCACTTTGTACGGTGCAGGAGGGAAAACACAGAAGCAGGAGCTCCCCCAAAGTCTTGTCTCCACCCCCCAGCGTCGTGGGGAAGCTCTGCCCAAGGGAGTCACTGAGTTCAGGAAGGGGCTCCACCCCCCGGGACAGTACTTTACAGCCTGAGAAGCTCCTCCCTGCCATCATTCTCACTGGAACCCTCAGATAACTCCCCCCGGATCACAGATGAGAGTCCCGAAGCCCAGTGACAGAGGGAAGGCCACCGTCCGAGGCCACACTGCTGTGTGTGGCAGAATGGGTCCCCTGGGTATCCCGCTTTGATTTCTCTTCCACCACACAGGCTCTTCCCTCTCTGGAGGAGAGCAGCTCCCCGTCTGAGTTAATTCGGTCAGCCGTGGGTAGAACAGGCCGCCACCCAAGCGGTGGTGTTTACCGCGCGCAACCAGCTTCTGTGGTTCCCACGGCAAACCCCTGGACCCAGCTCCCTGGGTTGTTGGGGAGCCACTGAGCAGGGGCTCAGAGCAGGGCCGCCAGAGGCACAGCCTTGCTGACATCAAGCCCAGAAGCCACGCTGTGTGACCTTCCTGGCAGCCAGGAGCAAACCTGATTCCACAGAGAACACGGTTGTTTTCTTTTTTTCTCTTCCCGCTTGCAAAGACAGAACTTGGAGGCTCTATATTTCTTTGTTGTTGTTTTTGGTTTTGATTAGGTCAAACCTATTTCCTGAAGAACAAAAGGAGTTTTATTCACTTGTTGTTTTATTTTCTATACATCACTAACACATACACCACCACAAAAAAAATTGAAGGAAGTTTCACCTACTCTGTACAAACCTTAACTGATGACCATGCCCATTAGCATTTGGACGAGGCCTGGGCACAGAATCAGCTCTCAATTAATATTAGACTCCTTTTCTACAAGCTTCCAAAATACCTATCTTAACAGCAAGTTGCCCCTATTGTGAGACTAAACTCCTTTAATTCGGTAACTACCCCGTTTTGGCCCTCCTGTAGAAAATTACTGTTACTCTTCCCAGTAGGCTGGCATCTATGTGAATTTTTTGACTGGCTTTGCAGATTAAAAAATCTGAAAGAAATAAGAATAAATGTCACAGTTGTTCCAAGTTCCCCTCACTTTTATGTCCCTAAATGCTATCTATTTGTTAAGGTCCTTTTCCTCCAGGTAACCAGCCCAACGCCTGGCCTCTCCCCTCCCCAGCTTCTCGTGGTAATAAAGATGAAGGGGTCTTAGCGGTCCATGGTTTGCAGAAGGACCTCCAGGAATCCAGCGTCCTCTGAGCTGCACACTTGCCCTGGGCAGTATGATCTGGGCTCCTGTCTTACTCCGGAGGAGACTCAGCCAGGCCAAGTGGCCTGCCAAGGGTGCACCTCTGTAGGGTGGCTCCACCCCGTGCTCCCAGCTCAAAAGCCGCATGCAATCCATAATTTACACCAGGCTTTTTATCTCTCTTCCACTTGGACACATTGCATTTTTTAAATGTGAAAGGATTCATAGAATGGCAGAGTACAAGAGAAAATGTTCAGGGAACAAGTGACCATATTTACAATCTACAAAAGAGCACTTGGACCAGGGGGCGCCTCAAAACCCAAGACAGACCGAGTGGATTGTGCTGGGGTAGCCAGGCACTTCTGAGGGTGAATTCCACCTAGCCGTTGGTCTCAGCCAGGCCTGGCTTGCTGGGCAGCTGGGAGCCAAAGCAGAATTCCTGCAGGAGGTGAGAGACAAGCGTGTAGAGTGTGGGAGTGTAAAGAATACCCCCAGCAGCAGCCTGGTGAGGACAGGGGTAGGGTGGGGATGGGGACTGCAATGTCCATGTTTATCACCTAATGCCTAGGGGAGGTGTTCCTGTGCATGGGTGTGACCCCTTTGTGCACAAGACCGGGTGAGCTTCAGACAGCTGGAGTGAATGCTCACATACCACCTGGTGACCACACTTCGTGAGCAGCCCTGAGTGCTCACCTATAGACCGCCTAGGCTGGGCCCACCTGGTAAGGTGGAGGGTGGTGTGGCCTTCTCCCCCTCACCTCCCTCCTCCCTTAAGGCTGCTGAGCTTAAGTGTAGAATTCTCTAGACTTAGCCTATTTTCCCAGCCCCAGAGGAAAAAAAGACATGTTGCCTTAATAAGGTATTTGTGTAAACTGAAAATGAATGGTTGAAGAAGCTGGTGTTACAAGCTGCCCCTAGAGAAATGATAGGTGAACTTGATGGAGGAAAAATCCACCAGTAGCATTATATAGCTTCTAGGGTCCTTTAGTGAGGGGGAAGCGGCCCCTAGCAGGTGCACAGCCTGGGATGTGGGTGGTGGGGAGTGGAGGAAACCTGGGCTTGCATTTCTCTCTCCTCCAGCCTTGGCAACACCATAGACCTAGCAGGCATTCAGGGAATGTTTGCTGGAGGAATAACAACATTAACATTTCTGTTAACTGTCATCTTTCTCTTGGCAGGCTGATAAAGATGTCCAGTCCGTATATGAACAACCTCATTATCCTCGGAGGGATGCTCTCCTATGCATCGATATTTCTCTTTGGCCTTGATGGATCCTTTGTGTCTGAAAAGACCTTTGAAACACTTTGCACCGTAAGTCATTCTGCATCTTCTCGGGGTATAGGATATAAGGTTTTCTTGGTTTTCCATCCTCAAAAGTGTAGATACAAACCCAGAAATGAATGAAAATATGTGAACAGGCAAAAGACAACTCATTCATGAGCCGTTCATGCAGTTCCAACAAGGCAGTATGTTGTTGCTTTCAGACCGGAATGGACTTCAGTATTGCCTGCAAAATTAAGATCATGGATTTAACAGGCCTCCGCTAGAAAACAGTCCCCCAAGGGATAACCAGGTAGCCTTTAAAAGCGAGGGAGGAAAACTACCAACCAGAAAAGGATCCACACCTGGGGTCAGGGTCAGGGCCATGTAAGAAGGAATAAATCTGCCCGTGTATCTCAAGAACTATTACAGAATAGGATAAGAGGTGTCTATGCGTGTGATTTTGAGTCATATAGAAAAAACCAGAGCCACTATTCTCTATTTAAGCAGTGTTTCTCAACCCATTTTTTTCCTTATTGCTCCCCTAAGAAGCCTTTTTAGACTTTTTTTATAATTATCTCATGAAAATTTAATACTGAAGATATACTATATGTTTATATGTTGTATGTATATCTATGGTTTATACACGAAAGAGTAATATTTTCCCATTTAAAAACCAGTGTTTGCCCCCTTGGGAACTATATACCCTCATTGAGAATGCATATACCTAAGGAAGAACAAGACAGTGTAATTTATTAACTATATTTTAGAAATCCTATTTTGAACATTAATTACTGGGTTTTAAACATTCGCTGCCTCCTTGGTGGTGGTGGTGGTGGTTTTTTCGACAAGAGTTTATGCATTAGCAATTAACAATGGTGTAGAACTCACTCTCAGATGAAAGTATCACTGACTCGCTATTTAAAATGAGAATGAGCAGTTGGGATTTATTTCTGGACTTTGACTACTGTGATCTCTCAAAACTGGGTTAGCCATTTGGGTCTCTGTATTGTCCCAAATGCAATCAGTCATCAAATTCCCAGCCTGGAGGACCAGAGCTAGAAGGGATGGCCAGAGGATCCGTGTTGGCCAGATTAGTTGAAAGCGACTCTTTTGTTGTTACTGTTTTCTTGTAAGGCGTTAAGAGCAATACAGGCCCTTTTTTGCACAGCAGTCTGTTTTCGATTATACTTGCTGATCTCAGGTCTCAGTGTCGCCCACCACTGGACACTTAGCCTAGCAGCGAGGGAGAAACAGTGGAGGACCCCTTCCTTCCACGTGCGGCAGGTCAGCATCCACACCTAGGACTGGTGGGGCTGCATCCGGTCCCTGTGCTGAGACAGCATATGGAAAGAAGGGGAGCCCCCTGGATCTTATGCCATACGTGACGATGCCCCCGAGTCCTGCAGATGATTAGATCGGACTGACTCTCACATGGCACCAAGAAATTGTTCATGTTACCAGTAACTTCAGTGTGAATTGCCTAGCAAGTGAGATGCCCACAGATCTCTTACTCTGTCCGGAAGTTTCCATCTGAGAAGCGTGTGGTGGAGCCCCTGATACCCTAGAGGACAGGGAGCGTCCGAAGAAGTACGCCGAGCTGCTCCAAAGTCCCCGTGGGTGTGGCTCAGCCGTGTGTTCCCTCGCAAGTGTGACCCTTTGGCACAAGGATGACCGGGGCTTGTGGGGGTCTTGCTCATTTTAGGGATGCCGTGAAGACCCTTAGGTCCCTCGCGGTCAAGTCCCCTGCATTTCTGTTCAGCATGACTTTTGACTTTTGGGCCCTTGCAGTTTCATGGATGCCACGTGTGTCCGAGGTCAGCTTTCCTGTGGGCAGGGGTGAGGCCACACGAAGGGGTTCCTGAGGCACCCGGAAGAAGCTAAGCGAGGAGAGTGGGGATTTCCTTCTTCCCTCTGCACCTGGGGATACCCCCCCAAATTTGAGGAGACCATGATTACACCAGTAATGAAAATGGTATCAGGAGCCAGTGTGGTGAATTGTACTTTCCACAGCTCTGATGACTCCGTGGCACCCCTGAGAGCTGAGGGGCCCCCCTCGGTCTCCCAGCCAAGAATCAGAGAGCAGAGCCCTACCCTGGCCGCTCCTGGGGCCCCTCTCTGTCTGGCTTTGGTCACCTGCAGCCTGCCCCCCTGGGAATGCATCCACTGGCCTGAGTTTCAGTCAGAGAGGGTCTCTTCCTCCCAGGAAGAACCTCCTGACTTCTTACCCTGCTTAGGGGCCAAAGTGCTTTCTCGACTGGGACCTGAATCCTGCAAACACTGGATGATGTAAGCTAGGGAGCAAAAAAAAGGGACATCCCCCACACCTGGGTTTTTTTCTTCTAATGAAGCCTGACATTCTGTTCTGGGAGTCGCGCTCATTTGTGTAAGGGGAAGGTTGTCCTGGGAAGGCTGGCAAGGCAGTATGAATAAATCATAAAGCACTTTACAAATCAGCATTAGCTCCAAACACGAGGGCTCGGAAGATGTTAGGCCCCGGTTCTCACCATCCCTGAGGATTCATTTATTTGCAGTCAGGGCTGTTTCAGAGGCTCTGCAAAGGGGAACCCACATTCATGACTGTGGGGAAGAAGCGTAGATTAACTACTCTGGACTGAATTGGGTCAGCACAAATGTGCACATGGGTTAGGACTGGGGTCATCTAGTTAATAATTCCCCATATCGCTCAGGAAGGAGAACTGAAAGCTCCTGAATTTAGAGCCTAAATAGCAGTCCCCAGTGAGTGCAATTTGGGTTGTGCTCCACCTGCTATTCCCCAGGGCTTGGCTCCTTTATTTTACTTGGTGCCTTGGATTCTGTTCTCTCTGGGCCAAATGGGCCCCCCGCTGGTAAACACCCACCGGGCTGGGAGAAGGAGGTAGAAGCAGGGCCAGCTAGTTCAGTGAGCACAGATCTTGAACAGCCTGGGTGGGACTCCCACCCCTGCACGTACTGGCCCCTGACTGTGGCCAGTGACTTAGCTTCTCTGAGCCTCAGTTTCACCATCTGTGAAATGAGCATAACAAATCCCCGTGCACGATGGTGGGTCACTGGGATGATTGCAGTCAGGCGCCGAGAGCATGGGACGCAGCAGGTGGGCGGCTCTCTCCCGGTCACAGTTACAGTCCTGGTGTCCTGCTCTGTGTCCTAGAGGCTATTTTTATAGGATAAAGGACAAGGCAGAACATGAAGCCAGCTTCAGGTGTGGAGCAATAGAAGGCACAGTTCAGTCTGTCCTGCTACTATGCGAATGCCATTCTTTTTTCTTTTCGTTTGCAATGTGGAAACAAAACACAGTGATAAACCATGAACACCACCTCAGGAAGAAACCCGTGACGGTCATGAGATTATGCCTCTCTAGGGGCTGTCCCTCTGCCCAGGAGGGCCATTATAACTTGGACGGGGGGTGGTGGCATGTGTGAGCATGCCCTCGCACGCGTGAGTGCATGCACGTGCACGCACGCACACGCACACACACCTACTGCTGGGGAAGCAGTTACACTTAGTTCCCATTCCCCCTACCCGCCCCCCGCCCATTCCCTCTGACCCTTTCAGGAATCTTCCCAGCCTGGTTTCAGCAAGACTTGGAAACAGCTCCAGCTACACTTGCCGTCTCCCTGGACACTGTGTGGGTAGTGGGATCACCATAGCGACGTGGCCCCTGTGGGCAGGGAGCTGCCTGTGAGGACAGTGCTGGGCGTGGGCCAGAGGCCCCATGCCAGGGGCTGTGGGAATGCCGGCTCAAAACTTACTCGCTGCCCTGGCTCAGGAATCCCTGCCCCTGGCAGCCCAGAGAGGGAGCAAGATGGGTGGGGGAGAGAAAAGGCGCTTGTCTTCCTTGGGGGATCCTAGGCAGAACCCCCAGCATGAGCACGGAAGGGTGAGAAGTAGCACTCTCGACAGCCTCGGGAGCTCTTGGGGCATCGCTGGGGGTGGAGGCAGTCAGCAGCGCCATGTTAACTCCCCAGGCCTATGCCCTCCTGAAATTCAGTACTCTGTGCTGTGATTCACCAGGCCCAGCCTGCTGCCCCATGGAGACGTCCCTTCTAATCCCCACAACCCCCTGACAAGGCGAAGTTCACTGTTCCTACTTGACAGGAGAGAAAACTGAAACTCTGTCACACATGGCTAGGTGGCAGGACTGAAGTTTGGGACTAGGTCTGCTGGACTACAGAGGTGTCTGAGATATTTCATTCCTTTTTTTTTTTTTAAAGAAATATATATGTATTTGTTGCTAGCTGGTTCATACCCGAGAAACAGGTCCACCAAATTCTTAGGGATGCAGTCAACATTTATCCCAACCCCAAAATTTGTCCATTCAGATTTTTAAAACTTGAGATATCATTCACATACCATAAAATTCACTCTTTTAAGGTGTATAATTCAGGGGTTTTCATATATTTCTTCATTCATTTTTGATCCGTCCCCAAGCATCTCAGAGTACCTAGCCTATAAGAGAATTATAGTCAGACTGCTTTGTGTTCAAATCCCAACTACACTATTTCCCAGCTGTGTGACTTAACTTTACTCCTCTGTAAAATGGGCATAATAATAGGCTTGGGAAGATTCAGCAGCACAGTGTACACAAAGCATTTACTGCCTGCCTCCCAATAGGATTCAGTAAATGTTAGCAATTATCATCATGAATGACGGGATTGTATCTGTATACTGGTATTCCCCTATGGACGCTGCTCAGAGAGATGCTGATAAAGCACAGTGAACTTGGGATGAAGAAGAGCCTGGAAAAGTGGTGTTGGTGCTGGTTGATTGGATGGAGGTATATCCGTGGGGACTTCTGGCCTTACATGGCCTTGCTCTGTTAGAACTGGGGCAGGGACAGACTCAGGCCCTACGTCAAAGCCAAGCTGCTGTATCTCTGTCACCCTCAGTGCCGAAAGGGGCCTCGGGCAGGCAGGCAAGAACGAGGCAGGTGGGACTCGGGGCGCTCCCACACAAGTCCACAGGCATCGGCCGCTCTCCCGGCAGCTCAGAGGAGCGTGGCTTAGCTGTAGAGCTCCCAGCTGCCTCTAATTTCTGACAATTCCAATTCC